AGGAGAGGTTCTCCTTGTAGGGATTTAAATATGATCTCCAGCACCTTAGTTGCACCCAGAAGTTTGATAAGTTCCCTCAAAAGAGGTGATACATGCACAAATCTTGTCTTGTGCAAAACTATGTGGGCCATTGAATTTTGAATCAACTGAAACTTCTCAAGGGCAGCCCCATGTAGAGCACATTACAGTAGTCCAAATGGGAGGTGACTACAGCATGGGTGACGGTGAAGCAGGCATGTTGGTCCAGGACTGGGTGTAACTGGTGCACAACTCACAGTTATGCAAAGGCCCTGCTGGCCATGAGTTGCAAACCCAAAGGCACTCCATCTTGTCAGGACATTACCTATTGATTTTTGAGCCCAGTCAGCCATCTGTATGTCGTCTTCAAAAATCTTCTTAAAAGCCAAATGGAGTATATCAAACATTTCCTGTGAAGAAGAAAAATGCATCAGGTAAATGGCTTATACAAATGTCAGTTACATACATTAGACACCATAAATTATAAATACACCATAGACGTGTTTCAACTGCTAACAACAATCTGGAGAATATGGACAATGAAGCATCATGTCCAAAAAGCCAAAATTTGCCAGTTCAGGAAATGGTTTGTTCCTCGAGTTTGCTGAGTAAAAATAAGAAAGAAATGTGCTTAAATGAATAGCCTGTAAAGGAAAGTTAACTGGTATCTAATAATATTTCTTTTATATCAAATTTTAGCTAAGGAAGAATAGCTGCTTGTGCTTAAAACAGTGTGTACCACGATTCTATTAGATTATTCAGATGTCCTTCATATGTGATTTAAGAACGTGGAAAGATGGGGACTTCCGGTGGGACGGCGCGCCGATGGCGGCTCTTTTCGGAGCCGTCCGCTTGGGAAGGCGTCAGAGCCAGCATGAACAGCGGTCAGCAGCTGTTCAGCGGCTTGGAACCTTGTGCCCCGGGAGAAGGGGTCGAGGTGAGTACTCCTGGATAGGAGTAGAGTCCCAAAGGCTCTCCCTTTATCTCGGGAGAGCNTACTGAAACAACACCTGAAAAAATGACCCTACTGACTTTATCAGATCCTGAATCGTTTAATACTGAACATAACTCTGTCACATATTATACAGCCAAAGGGGATCCTCGGATACTTATGGACTTGTAATCACTTGCCTCGGAGGAGGTAAGTGGCAGCAAGGAATAGGTTAGAGGCTTGCCTTTAAAAACTAAAACAGAGATGTTGCAATATTCTATACAATGTATCAATGCTTATTGCTAAGTACTTTCTCAAACAAAAGCTAGCCTACGTGACCAACAGCTATGTCACGTATGCCTAAGGTGACTTCCTCATTTCCTAAAGGGCACAAAAAAGACCGTATATGGTAGTAAGGAAATGCTCCCTCCCTCCTGAGATGTAACCACTCCCATACCTGATGTAACCACTCCCATACCTGATGTAACCACTCCCATACCTGCCATACTCGAATAAAAGTAGGTGCGTAAGAACTCAAGGGGCCTTTTTCGCTCCTGCTTCTACACACCTCACCAAAGGAAGATGTTGTCCATGTCTTCTTAAGCCGCATGCGAGGCCCGATAGTCAGCCTGACTATCGTACATCACCGGTTCCACAAATCACCCTGGAAAGGGCCAAACGTATCAGTTTGTAGATGTACAAGCTATTTTAACTCGGTATGCTATTTTTCACACTGTAGTATATGTTGATGCCCCTCTTCCTCTTGGTTTGCTTCAGTGAGATCTGTGCGTGCCAGGGCACAAGCCTAGGGACAAGACCTGGCTGTCACCCTGCTATATGACAAGGAATGTCACACTCGAGAAAACAATGATCTGTCTCTAAGATGAAATGACATCTCTTCTTCTGTGATGAGATCATGCCATTTATCTGGTCAGAACATAGAGAAACAGTGAACTGCTGAGGGAAGAAATCGCCATCTCTCCTCCTTCACAGGCAGGCCATAAGAAGCATACTTAGGCCACATGATTAGTTCATTGGGACTTTACTTGCAAGTGATACACATAGGACTGTGTTGCTAGTTATGTCCATTTGGGAGACACCACTGATCAGCTAAACATCTGTCATGAAAGAAGTATTCTTCCTTCCATCAAGCCCATTAGAAAGAGGAGAAACATTCTAGAATCAAGATCCAGCTGATAACTCAGAATATATTTCAAGGTCATATTTCAACAGAGGTTCTCTTGTTCTCTGACTTTTTTTACACAGTGCATTTGTCTCTATGTTATAATCTGGACAAAATATTTATTGGGAGATCACCTCCAGTCATCTCATCTTTTTGAGAGATTGGACAGAATCAAAAGTATTCATGCAACTCAGATTAGTTTAACAACTCCATGCCTTTGCGTTAATCTAACTGAATTTTCAACTGAAATCAAACTGAAATCTGTTAGTCAAATAACTCAACATCATTAGTATGTCCTCGTGTTTTCTTTTCCATTCTCCCCTGGGAAAAGCTAGAGCAAATTCTATGTGCTCTTCACACTTGCTCAGTATAAATGTTCATATTCCTGTTTTTCTTTATTTATCTTGGGAGATTTCATCCACTTGCTTGCCCAAAAGGTTTATATTGGCCATCCTTCCATGCACCCTGACTCGATAAATGCAGGTGTACTCCGGATTTCCCCAGTTGCTCTGCACTTTGATTTTTACATACTGGAACGCCTTCTCCTGTTCATTCTGAAATGTAGATGAGGAAAAAGAACAAACAATAAAAAGCAATAGAGATTAAATCATCATATTGAATGTCTCTATCAATTTAACAGAAAAGTGCAAACCCTATATTTCTGCAGGCCTGTTTCCCACACACTGATATATCTGCTTTGGGGTTGTTACTCATCAGAAAGGAGATTGGTGGTGTTGTTTTTTTAACTATGTCCCATTAGCTGCCATCAGTATAGTGAATTGCTACAGATTATAAAAACTACATTCCCTCAGGAGGGGCTAATCCACTCTTTAAAATACTGAATTAAAAGTTGTCTGACTTTTAGGAGATGGGGCAGAACTTGAAGAGGTTCTTTCAAAACAACTCAACCTAACACAGCTCATGGCTCTCATTTTTAATTTTACCTCTACCCACTTCTCTCATTGCTACTTTACCTTCAGTTGGAATGTCTGAATTAATTCTTTTTCAGTATCATACATGAATGTTCCCAGCAGGATCTCCTCTTTTGTTTCATCATTTAGCCCCTAAAATTAAAGGGAGGGAATCAGCTTAGAAGATTAAAAAGAAGAGTTGGATGCTGCAGCATCCCTGAAGGACAACCTAGAAACAGTTCTTGGTCGATGAAGTCAAGTCAATGCAGAAATAAAACAAAGTCTTGAGTCTTGACAGGCAGGCAGGCAATCTTTTAATAGTGAGGGGAATTATTTTATATGAAATGGGCAGAGAGTGGTATGATAAGTACACTTTTCATCCTGACTATTGCCAGGGGCTTTCGAGACTTTGTTTTAACATGATATTAAGATACCTATGTTAGGGCTTATGTCAGAAACTCATGCTGCTGATTTTCAGCAATTCTGGTGTACTGATCTGGAAATTGATATTCTCAGGAAAAGCTGGAAGTAGCAGGCAAAAGTCTTGTCCCTTTCATTCTCCCCCCATATATTGTATTCCAAATCACTATGCTGTATAGAGGTTGTAGTGAAGGCAAAAAGTCTTCCCAATAGTCACCTTAATCCCATGGAGTAGGCAAAGTGACAATCTTTAAATGCATTCATATGGGAAGCAGAAAAGAAGCTGTTAGTCATTTTCTGAATTAAATAGACCAGGGAAAGTGAACCGATACCATTGGATAAGAGAAATTAATAAACTATTTAGGGTGGTAGAGTTGGGAAGACACTATTTTTTGT